CAGCCATCGTTACGAATCGAACGGACACGAATTCGCCGCAGAGGGCATTACATTTTCCGACGTACTGGTCTTCTGGTACGCGAGGAATCGTTGCTTCGACGTAGCAAATTAATGTTTGCTTCTACGACCTATTTACTACATTTTGCTACCGCGTTGCCGGTAGTAGATGAATAATTATAAGGGAGGACCTTTCGTAGGATGATAACAATACATATTTTTAATGATATCTATAAAGATATAATCGAAGTTGCACACCCTAGAGACGTGTTACAAATACAGGTGTTTGGTGACTTCTGAATCCCGGTTAAATACCGTTTTGCTACGTATTTTTTGGTAAATACAGGCAAACAAGGCCACAAGATTACTTACTTACACGTTTATTTGTCATTGTAGATAATTCAGGTAAGAGTTGAACGTTTGATAAGTTTGGCGCTTGATAAATCATACGAGCCGTATCAGTCATTCATTTACTAAAGGAACGAAAACACGTCTACCATTCATCGGGTGATGCGTGATCGGAATTCTTTAACCGTGGTAGATAATGCATAGATACTCTTGAAACTTCGTCCTACTGAAAGTCACACCTGTCGGAGCATGTGACTTATACTAGGGTTACCAACCGTAATTCCTTTTAGTTGGCAAAACAACGTACTCTCGCTCGTTTCGTATATCGAATAAGCGTTGCAAATGAATCGCTTTACGTAGATAGTATTCGAATAAAATTCTGTCCATCTCTGGCTAATTTCCACCGCGAAACTATGCGCCCTAACCTTAGGAAATCGTTTTCAAGAGCACGTGAATCAAAGACGAAATAATAGAGAGGAAAAAACGTTCGTTTGTCGGTGCATTGCTTGGAAGCTTCCATGGCTGCTTCTCGGGGCGCTATTTTCGACTAGCTCGTAGGTAAATTTAGTATTGCAGACCAGTTTCTCGGCATAGTACGCACAGTCCGTTGATTTTCTTTCTTTACGCCATCCGAAACGACGTGTCAGGATGGCCGAGCGGTCTAAGGCGCTGCGTTCAGGTCGCAGTCCACTCTGTGGGCGTGGGTTCGAATCCCACTTCTGACAAATATTTTTTTTTGCATCGTTAAATTTTGGACGAATCTCCATGGTTCGTCGTTGATATCTATACAACCGGGCCTAATCATTTTCGCCGATAAACGAACTCTAAAATTTTTTTTTCTCGATCGGAGTGTACCTTCCTACCTATCGAATTAGCCAAATCAAAATTACGTAATGCTCGAGATTAATACAGTGGCGGACGTTCGTGTTGGCATGGAACGAATCTCGGAATAAAATTGCTCGTGAATTTTATTTTTTTAACGAAAAAGTACTATTAGTATTATTACGTTGAATGTAGCGATAAACAAAGTATCGATACTGGCATGATTATAGCATTCGAGGGAGAAACGATACCAGTAGATTATGTCGATAAAGCAATCGAAGAAAGTAGAGCAGGGAATTTTGCGATCGTAAAAGAGGAAGCTGCGTACGATGCTCGAGACTGCATCGATAATAACGGTCTTAACAATGATAATGATAACCGTAATAATTTTAATCACAGTTGCGATGATGTTACCACTGCAATCAATGAATTTATGGATCGTGATGGCAAGGTGAATCGTGGACTTTTTGGAACGATCGAGGACTCCGCGACGCAAAGGAAGAAAAGAAACTAAAAGCTATAAAATTATAGGGAAACGGAGCTCTTGTACAAAACATGACATCTCGAATTAAGAAGAAACATTAATGTTTATAATTAGTAGAGATTAAGGTACCAAACTTCAACTTTTTAATACGCTTCATCCCACTGTGCAGCCATTGATCTACCCTGACCCATTAAATTCACTTTTTCATTTCTATTAAAAACGACTATTGTCAACGAATTGAATTCAGGTTAGGCAGTATAAAAAGAGCGCAGCTTACGACAAAATGTAATGTAATCGTAACCTAATTTTAACCGAATTCCGAATATCTCCAGTAAAGCTGTTCGGAATGTTGTTCCCGATAACGTATTTCGAGGTCGTTGAAATCAGCGCTGAGACTTTCGTTCCAAATATGTAGTTACGAAGATGGAAATTTTTGCGTGGTCCTAATTTTTGTTGTAATCGATCGATCGTCGATCGGGTTAGGAATCGAGCAGAATTCGATTGTTTACAGGAAGAAAGTTGCATCAGAACGTAGGTGAATATTCTCAGGCGTGTTACGAGACGCCTCGAGACGTTGTTATTCGACGCGTCCACGGTCGAACGTTTCCTCCAATCGTAAATTTCATCGTTGTACGTTACGATTACGCGTTGGAGGTTCGCGAGAGGCAAGTGCACCGATTCCACGCGACGCGTTCGCGTTCATGCTCGCACATTCCTGTGCCATTTCTCACTGGACTGTACTCTTGCATGCGGCTGGCCGAAGGATGAGGAGGAGGCGGTGGTAACCTTGGTTAGAGCATAGACGAGAATAGGGGTAACATAAGGCGAGAGGATAGGTGAAACCAACGTGTTGCCGAGCCGAAAAGGACGGAACACGTTTATGCAACACTCTTGTTTTTTTGTTCTTGGTGAACAGTAACCCCAACGCGCTACACACGGATGCGTCAATATCCCTCGTAACCGTTTCGAGCTGATTGTTCTCCAGCGGCAATCTTTGGTAATTTATTTTCAACCACTCGAACGATTCCTTTTTTCTTTTTTTAAATATATAACTAGAATCACCCAGTATATCGTTGATTTGACTCGAAAATATATGCGTTCCAAGGAGGTTATACAGGTCGATAATCGTTTCGTAATAATCAATTTTCTGGAAAGTCGATTTATCGATCGAGAGATAGTTCCGACACAGTTTCAAACGGAACGGGTCCAATAAACGATACTAGTCGGTTTGTTCACGATCGAAAATGGCAATTGCGCCGCACCAAGGCCTCCGGAGTTTCGTCGGCCCGATGTGGTAATCCTTTAGCGCGAGACGGGCCCCGGTTTCTTCCTGGCGAACTTGCCAAAATAAATAACGGGGTACGCATGAAAGTTTAAAGCCAGTCGCCTGGCACACATACACCATAGACGCTGATTCGTTACCTCCGTTCTCCCCTATGCTTCGCGTAACCTTGAGAGTCGTTCAAGCGACGGCCATCTTGTCGAGATGCACTTTTGTTTTTTGCTTGTCCAAGACTCGCCGGTCTCGCTCCTGTCTCTTTCTCTCCCCTCTCTTCTTTTCGCGTCCCACGACTCTTTTTATCCTCGTTCACCTAACAATCTCTTCCCTCCCCTCCCGCGATTCCCCCCTCCATCCCGTTCATCTTTCTCCCTTCCCCTTGGCTCGCCATTCTTTCCGCCGTGCACTCCAATCCCCACCTCCGGTGCCCGCTCGATTCCTCTCCAGCGTGCTTCAACATCGCGGCACAGAACTTGCGCTGGTGTTCTCCATCCGTTCGTCCTACATGCCTCCTACCACAGATTGCCAAGAGAATGCAACCAACCTTCTGCAGCTTCTCGCGTTCTCGTCTCCTCTTCCTCTCGTTTGCGTCTCTTGCTCGTGCTACCGCTTGTTTAGACCCTCCTAACGACGCTGCTGTTTCGACGAAATTTTCGTGTAACTAAATAACCTGGCGTCTGTCGCAACCGATCGACCGGACGCCGCTATCCGAGAGAAACGTAGCAAATGTTTTTATTAAACCAGCAGCTGTGCTCCAGTGGCCCAATTTTCAAGGTAGGTCGGTCACGTGGGGCCGCGCCGTACCGGGAATAAACGAACACACGTGTGCCCGTACCTGCATCGCCCCGCGAATACCATTGGTTCCACCAACGAGACGTATTCGATCGCGAGGTCTTCGATTCGAAGCGTTTTGAGACGGTAGCCCGGTCGATCGAGTCCAAACAGAACGAATAAACAGTACAGTTTTCAAACGTACGAAAGTACTGTAGGATCGGAAGTTAGAAACTAGAAATCGCCGCCATCTTGGATAGTAGGGTTTTAGCTTCACGGTTCCTCGCGAACGTCTCGTAAGAAACTAAAAAGGCAATGTTTATTTTCGCATACTTTGATCCACTTCATTTGACTTAGTTTATATCAAAGAAATGATTCGCATCCTTAATTAAAGAGGGGGCCTGACGGATCCCGGTGCAGCTGGTTGAGTTACGAACACGAGCCCGCCGACTTAAGGGTTAAAAGTGCGACGACTTTGCATCTACTCAGAAAACGTGTTCAACGCGGAACGCGTACAACATAACTCGTTACGTCTCATGATATTCAGCCAGCTTCGGTAGCTTCGCTGGAGCTATTGAGTCACTCGCTATAAATTAATAAAGGCTCCGCTTGTTTTGACGGTGAGACGCAATGGTTATTGACCAGCGAAGCAATGAACTCAGACGCGACGGTGTGTCGCGCAATTTCTGAAACCTTATCGTCGCCTCTCGCTCGTACAACATATTTTTTTTCCTCCAAATGACATGGTCGTTCGCTTCCATCGGCACTTCGGAAGCTGACTAAGCGGTAAACAGAGACGGGCAACGTTTTAATTCGAGGAACAGTCGACTTTTGTTGAGAAACGTTAGCAGAGCAAATGTTCTTTATTGTTTCCGTGGCTTTTTAACTACGAAACGCACGAGCTTCCCGTTCGATCCGATATATTTAAAATACTGTCGGATCGAGTCGTAATATTACGCGAAAAAATTGACGAGTGGAGTGGAATACGATGTCGAGTGCAGCGAAGGGTTAGCGTAGTTTATTTAATGGAGATCGATGGACGAACGAGTTCGTTGTAGGACTTTTAACGCGAGCAAGTGTACGACGTGGCCGGTTTTCGTAGTCCGTGTAGACGAAAAAGAAAGTCCGCGAAGAACGCCGGAGTCTCGTGCGCGCGGCTCCGAGGGCCGAAATTCGTGCGCGTCGCGAGCAATAGGGCAGTGGCTCGCTGGTGGCGCCACTGTCGAGGACGGCGGCCGAGCGAGGAAACAGGCGGCCGGCGCATAAGCGGCGTCGAGCGCCGCAGTCGCGCGCTTGCACTCTCAGCGGTGAGCGGAGTTTGTAACCGTGCGTAATAGCTCGAAAAACGTCTTTTAGCCTGTTTTATTTGGCCCGTTTGTTCTGTCGCCGTAACTCGTCGGCCCCGCTGGCCTCCCGTCATCGATTCTCGCGGTCGTGTCGGTCGGACAGAGCCGTATCGTGAAAACGTTGTGCACGCGAAACTTGGACGTCGTTTCCCCTTTCACCGACACGGTGCGTCTACGTCGACGAAACGAGAGTGAGAGAGAAAGACACGGTGGAACGAGGGAATCGACAGTGACGAGAGGAACGAGGACGACGAAAACGACGCAGACGGTGACGACGACCACGACCGCGACCACGACGTCGACGACGACGACGACGCCGACGACGGCAACGACGACGACGACGACGACAACGACGGGTCGCCGTGGTTTCGCGAGGCGAGGCCGGCCGAACCGGTGCGAGAATCCGTGATCGTTCTCTATCGTATTGCGTGGTGCATGTCCGTGATACAGACGGAGCAGCGGCCGTGGAAAAGCGACGAGAGAGATTTGATTGAAAAGCAGTGACGTGTGCTACACGTGTATATTTTGTGCTAGTGTTTCGATCGGGCCTGCCGCGTTAGAAAGGACCGCTGTGTCAGTCGCAGACCACCGGGATTTCACGGTGTATACCTCGTCGTTATGTGAGTACTAGAATTTCTCGTTTCTCTCTTCGTTCTTATTTCGCGGCCGACGGTTTTACCTGCCGATCGTTCGCGGCGCCGCCGTGTCGTTTTCCCGCGTAACGATCGTCCGATCAGCCGCTTTATGGGACACAGTTTTGTTTACATCTGTCGCGGGGCAAAGTGTGAGGTAGGTTCGTGAACGAATGTGCGCGCGAGGTCGTATCGGGGACCGGGAGTGGGTCGACCACTAGGGCTCGGATCAAATTTTTAGACGATGGCACTTTCGGAACGCTATTGTCGAGCGACGATAACCGTGCAGGAATGTAAACAGCGTAACGTCTAAGCACGTGAAATAGTGTTGGTCGAACGGCGAACAGGTGCAACGAAAATAGGAATGATCGGAATCTGGTGGTGCTCCGAATGTTTGACATTTCTTTTACGATCGGTGGAAATGACGTGGATCGAATACGAAGATAAATAACGTCGCTCTTGGAACACTTCTTTTTTTTTTGTTTACTGTCGTCAGATCGATCGTAGCAATTCACGAGCTAGAGCGTATTTTGCATTTTGTCACGTAGAGTCGGAGCACGCCGCTCCGAAATGTAATAAAACGGAGCTACGGTCAAGCCCTTGACGTCTCGATTTATAACGCGAAGCAAATTTTTCAAATTTTTATATTACGACTCTTTTTTTCTTCCAAATTGGACCGATCGAGTTTGCGTTCGTTTCAAATGTAACCTGTACAGTAGAATTAAACTAGTTTTCTGCTTCCATTTTGATGGCTATGAGCTCCAAGTAACATAACCTGTTTATCGTTTGATGTTCGAGAACCACGTTTTTCATCTACGATGAAATGCACGTGCTCACACGGATACTTCGTACGTTAGATTTTTGCAATTATCCATCGATTATTTTCGTCGAATAGATGCAACGCGGTACAGTGTCTCGTGACACTGACTTGGCCAATATAAAGCGCCAGTTAATGGCATGGAAGTCGACTTTGCAATTACGGAAACGTAACAGTGAAAACCAGATTCCGATTCACTTTCGTAATAAACTGTAAACGCGATAAATATTACTCGCGTACAACTATCACGAGCCTACCTCAGCCACGGCTGATAGAGGAAAACGTGTTGGAAATAGAATACATTCTAAAAATATCTGTTCCGTCCAATCTAGGTACGCGATTGGTTAGCAAGTGACTATGACAACGTCCATAGACGAAATAATTCCGATGCAGCGTGTTTCTTCGACACGCCTCGTGTTGTTCGTTTCCGGCCGAATATTGTGTTATTCTTGCCGTGTTCTGGGGTCAAAGTTTACGAATATCTGGTAGCGTATTTTCGAGAAACATCGACCGAAAGTCAGAGTCGCTATTTCCGAGTTATCTAAGACGAGAATACACAAGGAACGACGAATAAAAATTTTTATTCAATATTCTCTCTTATTACGATCTTTTGGTCCCTGAACAATAAAAATTCGGTCAGCAAAGAGGAAGAGCACGTTGTTCGGGCAAAACTACTGTTAAAAGAATACGGTTGGTAACCCTAGGTTAGATTCGTATCAGAACTTGGAGTTGGTGTGGGTTAGACATCGCAATACCTTCGTACGGTTTCATAACGAGTCGCAAACTTGATAAATATTCCTCGAGTAAATATGTCAGGAGCCTATCTCGACTATCGTTAATAGCGGGAAAACAGATCAGGAATAGAATACGTTCTAAAAATATACGTTCCATCCAAATTGGACGCGCGATAGGTTCTACAGCGACCATAAATAATATAAATTTTTTCCCAACTCAGCGAAACGTTCACGAACAATTTCAACACTCCTCGACGTTGTATTTGGCGATGTAGAAGTTCTTGTACGCGATACAAGCAGCGATATTTAGACTAAGGCCTGGTTCGAGATTCTTGTGCCACATATTTGAACTCGAGTCACCCTGGTACGTTTTTTTGTCGTGGTCAGTGCCTTCGTGTTTACTCGGAGGCAGTTGGTGTGTAAACAAGTCGAGATTCGAGCCCGAGTTCCCCGGATAGCACTCGCTGGTCGCCGCGATACCGATGTTTCACGATGAAATTTTTTCTCGTTCCTTCTTTCGTTTTGCTTCAAATTCGAAAACAGCGATACTCGTACAACGAACAGGGTCTACCGCGACTCGTCGCCGCCGTTGGACGTGTCCCTCGCAACGAGTCCGTTCTTATTACAAATTCAAATTTAACGACTGACCGCCGCCACTTGGAAATTTAAATCTTTAGATATCGTTGCTGATTGAAACGAATCCGACCGAGCTCGGGATTGAAAACGGTAGTTTGATGTCTCCGCGGACGAATCCCCGGATGGGGGGATACACGTTGCCCGGGAACGATCATTTTGTCGCGAAAATTTCAGATTTCTAATTCGCGCGCTAATGACCCAGATCGTCGACACGTTAAACTTTTTATCGAACGAAAAGAATCGTTAGGTTGGACGTTGCACGAGCAGTGTTTGCGATCAGACGACGATAACGTCGATACGAAATTCGCAGGACTGACCTTTCTCAACGATCGAAACTCTCCCGCGGCGAAAATTGGCGTTTCCCAACCTTCGACCAGCTGTTTTCAGAACCGATAGTAGAGTCACGAATTGGCGTTACCAACCGCTGGACGCGTAAGCTCTTTTCCGCGACGCGAAGACCGTTTTCGCGAACGACGACCATTCGACCAGTTATTAATGGTAACAGTTCGAGTGTGTCGTATCTATTAAATCTGTTCGTCGAACGACGACGGTATCGGTTGGAAAAAGAAAGCGACGTGGTAAAAAAGAAAAAATAACGGTTGTTTGCACTGTGCTTGTGGTGTCTTTGCCGTCTCGCAGATACAGGCGAGCAAGCAATCTTGGAGTTTTTTTTTTTTTCCTTCCGACGCGTATTTCTTTCTTAAACGCTCGAGTGAGTTGTGGCGTCGGTCGAGGCACCGTCGCAGTTTTATCCGATGTAACGTCGATAGCGCTCGATAAGGAGGCATGGCTACGGAGAGCGTACGAGTCTTCGGAGACCGATAAGAGCGTGCATTATCACGGTGCACATCCACGGCCTCCAATGTCGTCGTCGCGCTACGAGAATGGGCCGAAGATAAGCGCTTGTCGCTCGCGTTCTGCTCGCGGTGGCCGCCTTCAGGTACCAGAACACCGCCGCCGTTACGTAAGCCACGACACCGTCTTAAAAAGCAACCTTTAACGTTCTCGATTTCGTCACCGTGTAACCGTTACAATTTTTATTCCTCCTTTTCGTCGCTTTTTATCCTCGGTTACAGAATACAAAGGTCGTAGGGGGTGGGGCACCGTTACAGCTGAAACTTCGTAACTGCAAAAACCGGTTGCAAAGTACTGTATACGTGCAAAGCCCTAAACTTTGTTCAGTAGAGTTGTTTTTTTTTTAGAACAATATCACGAAAACCAAGGTTATATCTTGGACGAAGATCCACGCGTTCGTATTAAAATTTTCTTCTAATTCGCCGATCGGAGTTTGTTGCCACGCGAGGAAACTTGCAACGAAAGTTTTCTCGTTCTTTTCACTTTCTAAAATATCGTTAGCGTACGGAGCCGTGTCTATACCGAGGCCAAGGTATTGCACGAACGAAAAAAAGAAAAAATAACCTTTCTTTCTCGTTCGACGACGACCGTGGAGACCTTTGTTCGTTTCCAAAGTGATATTTGTCGCGCGTGGAGCTGCGCAAGGTCGAGTAATGTCCGACGAGGCAAGACGATCGCGGCGTATAAATCGCGCTGGAAGGATTTGTAACGGAGAAAGAATTTCTTGGGTCATTTTCTCGGAAAAGGTACGAAGTCGGAAAGTTGCGCAGCGATATTTCAAAGTCTAGCAATGTTTGTCCGACTCCGTAACTAGGCCAAGTCTAGTCCAATGCGGTTTCACGAAACGCGAAATCGTAAATGTAAATGGAATCGGAATAATCGTCCGAGAAGCAGAAAGACCGTCGTCTTATTACGTTTTATGTATCTGGAACAGTGGGAACCAAATTTTTTTTCATACTTATTCGTACTTCTCATTCCAGTGAAACAACATGGGTCGTTGAATCGCTTAACGATCGGTTAATATTCGTACAACCTTTCGAGGTTTGCAATTATATTTCGAACTGCATCAAACTTATCCCCCTTCGGCGTATCGACGTGAATATCATTACGCTTGTTTAATTTCAAAGAGAATCGACGGAAAAGTACTTCGAAACGACAAGAGCGCTCTTATTCGTCCATATTCTTTTGAATTATCAGCACTGTCCTCGTTACGCTTCTATCTCTGTTTCTCCCTGGATATAGAATCGAGCGTGCAAACGCAGAAAGCATATAATCGGCAGTATTTGTTCTCGGATGCATAAAAGGAAGCGGGGGGGGGAAGAAAAACTGTAATCGAGAATCTGACATTTGTCAAAGAAGTGTCGCCGTTTCTCGTTCTATACATCAAAACCGGTTCGACCTGCTGCGCATGCGTCCGCGCGTGCGCGTTGGAATCAGATTACAGTGCAGCGGCAATCATGTTAAATAACAGAAGCAACGACCCATCTCCAGGAATATACGAGCGTAACCGCGATCTACGGTTCACAATATACCGCGGGGTAAAACAAGCGTAACGTTTGTCGGAAGACAACGATGACCCGATGACCCGGCATTATCTAACCGACAGCAGGACTTTTCTTTAGTGTTTTTGCTTTTCCGCTGGAATCGATAGCGCCTCGATTTCGAGTTCGTTCGCGCGATTCATTCTGCTTGACCGACCGAAGTCGTCAGGCTACCTATGTTACCGACCCCCCCTTGTTTATTGGCTGAATCCGTGCATGGGTATCCCCCTTCCGGGACGAAGAAACCCTTCTCGTACAGAATGCATTTTTAACCAGGCCACCGAGGCATTTGCTAGCAGATCTTTGCCGAAGGGATTACGCCTCGCTCGTCGAGATCCTTTTAAAACACGACGTTCGTCTTGCACAGACGCAAAGCGTTGGAAACTCCATTCGGAAATCGTGTTT